CTGTCTAGATAATCCTGGGGATCCTCAGAAGATGCACCGCTGAAAGTGGCAGTGAAGAGCTTGGTGAACCTATCCAATCTCCACAAGGCATCGACAGTCATAGCTGCTCCGTCACTAGCCTGGGCTACCACACCCGGCTGAACTGCTCCAACTGGCTGAGCTGCTGGAGTCTGAAACTGGGGAGCCACCTGCTCCGGAGTGCGAGTAGCAGGAGTCTGGGCCCCTTCTCCAGCCTTAGAGACGGCTGGTGCTACAGGAAGCAAGCATGCCTGGGTGACACTCTCCATGAGGCCCACTAGAGGACCAGAGCATCCTGAAGTACTGGGGTAGTAATGAACCCCTCTGGGACCTGAGTTGGGCCCACTGGAGCTGTCTGGGCCGGAACCTCCTTGTCAAACTCAACTTGAGGCTCCGCCACTGGTGCCGCTACTCCGGGCTGAGCTTTGCCCCTACCTCGGCCTCTAGCACGGCCTCGACCTCGCCCTCGCCCTCTGCCCCTCGTGGGAACTGCTGCTGGGGGCTCGGGCTGCTGATCAGCGGATGAGGAAGCGCGTGTTCTCGGCATCCGCGAAAGAACAGAGTAGAAATTCAATTAGCATTGAGAAACCAAACCACACGACAGGAAAGAATAGATGTGAAGTTTCTCCTAACTCTGTAGCCTCTGGGGGATAAATACAGACATCTCCGTACCGATCCCTCAGACTCTACTAAGATTGTCTGTAAATTGTGAGACCTATATAACCTAGAGCTCTGACACCAACTTGTCATGGCCCGAATTTCCCACCCTCGGGAGTCGTGATGGCGCCTACTAGTGAAAGCTAGGCAAGCCAAACAACTAAATTTAATTACCTTGATTCCATTTTAAATCCATTAACAATTAAGAACCAACAGTTAATGAACAACATAATTAAATAGGCGGAAGACTAAATTTTACGTTGTAATAATGCTACCAATGTCAATCCATAACAATCTACCCAAGACTGGTGTCATAACTTCACAGACTGTCTAAGAGTGCTACAAATAAAGGTCTGAAAGAAATAACAAAATACTGTCTCTGGGATTACATAAAAGAAACAAGAATAATAGATAGAGGGAGACGCCAAGGCTTGCGGACGCCTGCAGGACTACCTCGGGTCGCCTGATGAGAAAGAAGCAGAAATCTCACTGCGGTCCGAAATCTACAGTACTGGGATCTACACAAAAGAGTGCAGAGTGTAGTATCAGCTCAACCGACCCCATGTGCTGGTAAGTGCCTAGCCTAACCTCGAAAAAGTAGTGACGAGGCTAGGACCAGACTACCAAATAATCCTGTGCAGATAAATAATGTATAACGGAAAAATAAAAGCAGAAATATACAGTCAAGGATGGGAGGGGGAAACATGCTGCGGGGAAATATCAGGTGGCAAGAGGAAGACAACAGGTAAATATAGGGAACGCCACAATTCAACTATCAACAAGAATCAGAAATCAAACAAGTGCACGGCATCACCCTTCGTGCTTTTACTCTCATCCTCACCATAAAGTCAATATGAACTGCATGGCATCACCCTTCGTGCTTTTAGTCTCATCCTCACCATAAAATCAATATAATCGGCACGGAATGATACATCGTGCGGCACGGCATCACCCTTCGTGCTTTACACTCTTCCTCACAAAAATCATACACGGCATCACCCTTCGTGCTTTAACACTCTCTCACCAAAACAATGCAAGGCACCCTTCGTGCTTTACACTCTTCCACACCCAAATAACAAACACAAACAATAAGGGCAAGGAATAAATGAATCATAATAAAATCCCGGCAAGGGAACAATATCAAGACAACAACATCCCGGCAAGGGAACAATATTCAAAATCTTCTTCTCTTTTTCACATTTACTTCACAACTTGATTCACAATTTGAGCCAATGCTCTATAAGGTTCAATTACCAATTATTCTCCCACAATTCACCTCACAACTTGAGCCAACGCTCCTCAATGTTCAAATATCACCATTATTTCCACAAACTTTGCCCAACAATAGAAAGCATCACATAAAGGATGAACAATACAAACGGAGTCATTTTAATAATAATACAAGACTCACGGGCATGCTTGACACCAACGTATAGATACTCGTCATGCCTATACGTTGTACTCAACAAATATCACATAGCAAATAGGACACAACTCCTAATCCCTCAAGCTAAGGTTAAAATAAACACATACCTCAATGCCTCGAACTCAATTCAAGCCTCAACTATCGCTTTACCTCTTGATTCCACCACCAATTCGCTCGTATCTAGCCACAAGTTACTTAATTATATCAATAAATGCTAAATAAATCAATTCTAATGCATGGAAATAAGTTTTCTAAAGTTTTTCCCAAAAAGTCAAAAATCAACCCCGACCCCCACATGGTCAAAACCTGAGGTTTCGAACCAAAACCCGACTACCCATTCACCCACGAACTCAAATATACGATTTGTTTTGAAATCGGACCTCAAATCGAGGTCCAAATCCCCAAAAATTGAAAAACCTAGGTTCTACCCAAAACAGCCAATTTCCCCCATGAAAACCTTTGATTTTGAGTTGAAATCATGTGAAAAGATGTTAAAGATTGAAGAAAGCGAGTTAGAAATAACTTACAATCGATTTGGAGAAGAAATTGCCTTTGAAAAATCGCCCTAGAGTGTTTTGGTTTTGAAAGAGTGTGAAAAAATAGTTGAGATGCATCTAAGTTATGAATTTACAGGTCTCTGATGTCGCAATTGCAACAATGGTTCGCAATTGTGAAACCTTCAGAATACTGGGACTTCCGCATTTGCGAACAACATGTCGCATTTGCGGCCAAGTCAATTTTCCGGCCTTCTTCGCATTTGCGATAGGCCTGTCGCATTTGCGATATCGCATTTGCGATACTTGTGTCGCATTTGCGACTTCAGGCATGAACTGAACACTTCGCATTTGCGAGATGCGAAGTGTATCTCGCAAATGCGAGATAAAGCTGGCCCGGAGTTCTTCGCATTTGCAATGAATTTCTCGCATTTGCGAACCCTGCTTGCATCGCAATCGCCATGCCTGATCTCGCCAATACGAGACCAGAGGCCTGCTACACACCTGCAACACACCAGCAATTTTCCTAAGTCCGATTTCACTCCGTGGCCTATCCAAAACTCACCCGAGCCCTCGGATCTCCAAACCAAACATGAACACTAAGCCAAAAATATCATACGGGCTCGCTCGTGCATTCAAATCACCAAAATAACATTTACAACTATGAATTTAGCATCAAAATCATGAAATCACTTAAGAACATCAAATTTTCTAATTTTCTCAAATAAGGTCCGATTCACGTCATTTCAAGTCCGTTTCTTACCAAACTTCACAGTCTCGACTTAAATCACATATAAGACTGTACCGGGCTCCGGAACTAAAATACGGGCCCGATACCATCAAATTTCAAACACATTTCATTTTCAAAAACTCATATATTTTTCAGAAAACAATTTTCTTTAAAAAATTCATTTCTCGGGCTTGGGACCTCGGAATCCGATTCCGGGCATACGCCCAAGTCCCATATTTTCTTATGGACCTGACGGAATCGTCGGAACATGGATCCGGGTCCGGTTGCTAAAAATGTTGACCGAAGTCAACTTAAATTCATTTTAAAGGCAAAATTCATCATTTTCCACAGTTTTTCGTATAATGGCTTTCCGGCTACGCGCCCGGAGTGCGCACGCAAATCGAAGTGAGGTAAAAATGAGATTTTTAGGCCTCGGAACACTGAATTGGTTTCTAAAACAAGTGATGACCTTTTGGGTCATCACATACCTAAACGAGGCTATATCCAAAATTTGAGCAAGATTAGCAAAAGAGTGAAAATATATTTCAACTTTGTTTTCTTCTCTCTTCCTTTTTTTGGTTGGATTGAATGAGTGGGTGTGACTAAAATTGGTTGAAAACACCTAAACGAGGCTATATACAAAATTTGAGCAAGATTAGAAGTGATTTAGATTAGTTTCAGGTAAAAAATCAGACCTAAAAATCCAACTACGGTATGTGTATATCACGTTGTATATCGTGTACATCAGTGTATATCACACACAAGTTTTTAAGGACGTTTGTGTATATCACTTTGTATATCGTGTATACAACACAATATTTTTATGGACGCCCGTGTATATCACATTGTATATCATATATATAACATAAATTTTTATGGATATACATAGATACACATAATATACATGAGCATATAGAGATATACACGGGTTACAATAGGGGATACACATGTGGAGTCATCTTGAACATGAGTTTTCAATCTGAAATGTGATACAACGAAGGAATTTTTTTTGATATACTCATTGCTATTATGTTATACATTGTGATATACAAATAATATAATTATTAATTATTGATCAAAAAAGGAAAATAAATTTTTGATATAGCATGTTTAAGCAGGTTCTAAAATATTGAAATAATAAATAGTAAATAATATTTTGGTATACAAAAAAAGAATTAATTTTTGATATACACAAAGAAGAAAAATAAATTTATGATATCTATTTTGGTATACACATGTCCGATGTGCTATACACTGCGATATACAAATAATACAATATTTTTATTGTGATATACATTTATATAAAGGCAGGAATAACTATATATATAATTTTATATTATTGGTATACAAAGAATGAAAATAAAATTTTAATATACATGTTGATATAGACAAAGAAGAAAAAAAAAGTTGTGATATACATATTATTATTGTGATATATATTTATTGGCTATTTAATGCCAATATCTATAACTAGGGCTATTTTCTGCCAATTATATAGGTATGCTGTTATACCGTGCCAACTATTATCATTAAGTTTCATTTTTTGAAAACAGAAAATAGAAACAACGACGATTATGCGATTCGGCCCATAAGTAAAACCCAAGGTAGCCCAAATTCAAAGCCCAACAAAAATCCCAAATCTAATTGCACGTTCTCCCTCTCTTCCCTTAAAACCTCGAGACTTAGGGTCAGGGTTTCTCTACAATACAGTAGAAGCCAGAGCAAGTAAAAATGGCAGCACCGGCGGCGGCACCGGCAGCAGCGGAATCAGTTCAATGTTTCGGGCGGAAGAAGACGGCAGTAGCAGTAACCCACTGCAAACGCGGGAAAGGCCTGATCAAAATCAACGGCGTTCCGATTGAGTTAGTCCAGCCTGAAATCCTCCGTTACAAAGCCTTCGAACCAATTCTCCTCTTAGGCCGCCACAGATTCGCCGGAGTGGACATGCGGATCCGCGTCAAAGGAGGAGGACACACTTCTCAAATCTACGCTATTCGTCAGTCGATAGCGAAGGCGCTCGTTGCATTTTATCAGAAGTATGTGGATGAGCAGTCGAAGAAGGAGATTAAGGATATTTTGGTTAGGTATGATAGGACATTGCTTGTAGCTGATCCTAGACGATGCGAGCCTAAGAAATTTGGTGGTCGTGGTGCTCGTGCTAGGTTCCAGAAATCTTACCGTTAGATTTCTTTATCTGCTTTTTTTTTATTGCTGATGGTGTCGATCTTTTTAATGCTTCGGTTTTGAATTTTCTCCAAGAATTTATGTTTTGGATTAAATTTTTTATTAACTGAATGCAATGCGGTGTGTTAAGTTCATGCATAAGTAGATGAACCATGAATGCTGTTAAGCTTGCTTGTGTGTATATCTTTTTGTTTGCAGCTTTTATATTCTTGGTTTTTTTTTTTTTTTTTTTTTTTTTTTTTTTTTTTTTACTACGTCTTCTTGTATTCTATTCTTTTGTTTTTTTAGTANGCTTAGTTCTTAAATGATATGATATGAATATGTGCCTCTTAATTTATAAAAAAACAAATAAAGTGAACCAGATGTCCTGTTTTTCTTTTTCTTTTTCTTTTTTTTTTTTTTTTTTTTTTTTTTTTTTTTTTTTTTTTTTTTCTTTACGCTCTTGATTCATCTTTGTTTTTTTGTAAATCTTTCTTCCCTGTATCTTTTGCACCTGCACCTGCTTGGCCCTCAGANTTGTAATTTCTCAAGTATTATGTTTGATTTAATTTTTATTAACTGAATGCAATGCGGTGTGTTAAGTTCATGCATAAGTAGATGAACCATGAATGCTGTTAAGCTTGCTTGTGTGTATATTCTTTTGTTTGCTAGTCTTTTATTATTCTATTGGTTTTGGTTTTTTTGTTTGTTTTTTTTTTTTTTTTCTTTACGCTCTTGATTCATCTTTGTTTTTTTGTAAATCTTTCTTCCCTGTATCTTTTGCACCTGCACCTGCTTGGCCCTCAGAGACATGACTTGATTTCCCCCAGTAAAAGAATTGTGAGAATCTGAATCAATGCAGGGACTGTAGTATCATGTCAGTAAAACTAACAACAGATTCCGTTCTTCTGCGTATAGCCTCTCCACTTCTGAAGCTAAAACATAATTTATTGATAGCATCCTATGGGATCAGAACAACATATTTTGGATAAGGCAGGGTTGCTCTGTTTTAGTGTACTGAGATAGCGGCATTTCATATGTGAAGTTTAAGATGTTATAGGGTGTGTTTGGTATGAAGGGAACTGTTTTCGTGAAAAATGAGTGGTTTTATCACTTATTCAAGAAAATATTTGTTAGTGTTTGGTTAGCAAATATAAAATATTTTTTTGGAATATATAATTCAGGCAAACACTATGGGAGATGAAATGGATAAGGGTGGTTGGAGGGTGTGTGTGGGGTGGGGTGGGTGGGTTGGGGTGGTGCGGGGATGGGTGGAGGGGGATGGTAGGGGTGGCTGGGATTGGGGAGGTGGGTTGGGTGGTGGGGGTTGGGTTGGGTGGTGAAGGTTGAAAAGGAGTTTTGGAAAATGTTTTTCCTCCTTTCGTAGTGAAAACCTTTTCCTCAAATTGGAGGAAAATGAGCTCAACAAGAAAATATTTTCTAAAACATTTAAGCCAACCAAACATGGGAAAATTGAAAATGTTTTCCTTCGTACCAAACATACATCCATACACCCATAATGAAGCTATTTTCTCCGACGAATAAATGTCTTGAAACATCCCAATGAAGCTGGTAATCCAGCTTATGTCTGTGAACCGTTAATGTCTGCAAACTTTCCTCCTTAGTGGCGCTTCTTGTTGTATTGAGCCTGCATTTTAACTTCTGTCCAACAGTTCTACCATATGGGTTGTTTCATCACGTAATTTTGCTTGTCCACTCTTTTATATTGCCAAAGCACCTAACATTTAGCGGCCTCTCCTTATCTACCTTCAGTTTGCTGTCCTGTTCAAGTTTAGCTGATAATCCCATCCTCTCTTATTAGTGATATGTGCCAATGATTTGTTAATCCACTTTTTGTTAAGAATGTTATAAAATTGTGAAACTGTTATATGTCCACAAACTTTCCTCCTCAATGGCTTCTTAATGTGAACCCTGAACTTTGCAATTCTACCCCATCTGGGTTGTTTCTGCATATAATTCTACCGTATGTAGCATTCTCTCTTTCTCTATCGACAGTGTGCTGTCCTATTCATTGTTTCGTTCATCTATGGTTCTATATTTAGGAATTGTACTGTAGCAAAGAGCTACTTGCATATATGGTGATATTACGATTATAGAGCTACTTATGTATATGGCGATATTACGATTATAAGGCGCTGGTGACATCCAAAAATCTTTATCAAGATGTACTTTTGATAATATACATCTCGAACATGCCCTCCTTTAGAAAGGAGAAAATTTCATAAAGTTATTTTCTCCGACCTTTATTGGCTATTTGTTTCTTACAGATTATGGACTTCAGTAGTCTATTATTTACCCCTACAGTAAACCATTTTGAGTTTACTGCAGTGAATTACAGGGCATTTACCTGAATGGTACTCTTTTCAAAGTTACTATCCAAAATTAAGTAACTTTGGCATCTGTTAAACTTTTGGTCTAATATATTACCTTTGCCATTAGGAAAGTCTCGTTTTTCCCTTGACACCTAATGGAGCTCAAACCCAAGGGTAATTTTAGACCATTGTCAAAAGTTGAGCGATGAAGTCACGTATTTTTTCTCAGAATTTGGACAAATAAGGTGCATCCACTTTACGCTAAAGCTCCATTAATGATGATGGCAAGAAAGAGATGATTTGCCTACCAAAAGTGTAAGGTTGTGGAAACACACACCCATACTTTTCAGCAAACGTGAAGAAAATAATATTAAAGTTTACTATTATCAATTCATCGTCACATAGGACTACAAATTAGCGAGCAACATCATAGAAACAATTTGGTCCAGGAGTACTCTTATCTAGAATTTTCTCGTATAAGGCATCCAAGGGTGTAGCCTAGGGGTCAATAAAGTGGGAGAACCATGAGATTTTATGTTCAAATCTCAGTAGAGCCAAGAAATGCTAGGTGATTTCTCTCGTATATGATCGTTATATTATTATCTTCTATCTTGTTTTCATACGTTAGAAAATGAGATCAACTATGTTATGTAGCAGTGCACTCTGGTGGTAGGACTTTGTATCTCCTAGTATCTTGACAATAAGAGTAAAACATATGCTTCCTCCTTGCCCAGTCCAACCCCGTCATCTGCTGCTGTGACAGCTTGACAAACTCTTCTCCATCTACAGGATCCAAACTTGATGTGCTTCTTCTAGCACATGCACTAGCTGCTGATGCATTTTGCTGGCTTACACACCCTTCTAACTCTACTCCTTTTATTGATGTTACAAACGGGGCGTAAGTATAATTTACTGGGTATTTCCCTCCACGAGTTGCCCATTGTGATCCATCCCATATTGTCACATAAATGGACATTGGCTTTGATGGGTAAACAGAAGAGATTGCAGTATTATGTACAACCTCTCTTACTGGCACATTGTCCACTAGAAATCTGCAGAAGTTTACAGACAATTGTTATATTTAGAACCAAGGTAAATGGAACTCATAAAGTACTCAATTTTTTTTTTCACTGGCTTACAGAATGTGATGATTGTTCCAGAGAATACTGTAGTCATGGAAATCTTGTGTTGGATCAAACCAGAGGTAGAACTTCTCTTCCCTCCCTGTGCTGACACTTCCATTTCCATAAATATTTGTTTGTAGAACCCAATCCCTTCTCTTATCATACCCAAGCAATTCAAAATCTAGTTCATCATGGTTGTGTGGGAAAATATTTTGATTAGAAAGCTGAAAATGAGGAAAAAGCTCTTTCATTAGCCCAATCTATATATATATATAGGGAATGAAAAAGATGACTTGGCACCTCTCTTAGACTAGGATTGCCATTTATCTTTTTTCTCCTTTTTTGGCAATTTTCCCTTTATTCCTCTCATTCATTCTATATATATATATATATATATATATATATATATATATATATATATCCCACTCACTATATTTAATAGCCCACTAAGCAATAAATCAAAAAGTTATTGTAACTGTTGAAAGTTACAAAAAATTGTAACGTTTGAATGTTATTCTTTTGAAACCCTTAATCTTCCATCTAAACACTATATATTCTAAACAGTAAATTTTTATGAGATTAAATAGAAATAAGCTTATGAGAAGAAACGTGATAACTTGGAAAATTGGAAGTGTAAATTCATGAAGATGTGATGGAGGTATCATTTGTTACGAGATCTTAATTTGTCTTTTCATTTTACATCTTGAGATTTTATTGTTTCATGAACTATATATATTTTCATTCACTTCAATTGAATAACTACTAACTTTATTTTTCAATTTCTTCAAAGGCTTTGAGTAATCTTTCTTTCCTATTATGTCCTCTTTTATCTTTTTGGGAAGAACGGGTACAGTCTTTATGGTGAAGAAAGTACATAAAAAAAAGAAGAGAAGGAGTGAAATGGTGCAAGTGTTCGAGGTAATTTTTTATACGTATATGTGTAAAATTAGGATATTTTTGCGCAAATGTACAAAACTGAGATACTCTACTACTTCTTGGGTAAATATATGCATGGGGAGCAGGAATACTTAAAGGAGCAACTTGATATATTACGCTTACAATGGTTAGCTATCTCTCTGTCAAAGGTATTATGAAGATATATAGATATAGATTATATCACACGTACATATATGCATTTACCATGTCAAAAAAATAAAATAAAATAGGATTTTAGTCATACCTTTAGTGTAGTTTTTCTTTTCTTTTGCCGTTATGTAATTCTTCTTTTCCACATCATAGCTATATATATAGTGGTCATTAGTTTCATCCCAACTACATTATGGTAAGTTTCTAAATTATTTTTTTGTTACTATATATGTTGTTGAAATACCAAATAGTTTCAGCAAATCTTCATGTAAGCACACGTATACTATAGAGGATGATGATAATGTCATAAATATCTCTATCAAATTTCAAGAGTAGGTGAGCAGGTTTGGCAAGCTTTTGTTTGATGGAGTTGATCCAATATTTTAGTTTTTGTTTGATGGAGTTGATCCAATATTTTACTTTGCGTTGTATACAACTTTTACTTCAAAGTAAGGTTTCTTGCTTTGTTTGCTAGGGCGGTCGTCTGTGGATCATGGGTATTGCAATGGTGATAGTGGTGACACAAGCATTTTCCTAATCTCTATTATTATTATTATTATTATTATTATTATTATTATTATTATTATTATTATTATTATTATTATTATTATTATTATTATTATTATTATTATTTATTTACAAAGTAGAAAATATGTTCTAAAAGTTATTTTTGTTAAGTTTTACTAAATGATTCCTTGGTCATCGTGTGAAGAATACGGCTTGTATCAGATTTATAGAAAAATCACGTTACACTACTCTAAAACCAAATAGATGTTACTATGTCATTTTTTTTATGTTTCCTCTCATTTTACCCAATTAAAGGGTGTGTGGCATCTCTTATTGGCCAACATTTATATTTAGAGGTGTATACAATGTGACTACGAAAAATAGATTAAATGATGTAAGAACATTTTTTCCTCTTTAATAATTTTTTTATAGAGCAATTACATGTTACAATACATAAAGGTCATCCGATAGTATAAATTTTTTTAGATTGACGATTCATGTTACTTAAACGCAAGAAAGAAATTTATAAAGGAAGTAAGGTAGGAACAAGTAGAAAACGGGACGAAAGTAACTAAAGATATCAAGGAATTGAAAATCAAAAAAAAAAAAAAAAAAACAGTAAAAGAAAAAAATAGAGGAAAAATAATAGGCGAAAAGTTACATGACTGGAATGTAACTCAATAGTAATGATTGTTGTTGTAGTATTCTTACTTTTCATTCATGTTCTTTTAATTTAAAATTTTTAGAAAATCAAATATTACTATTAGAGAAAGGACGAAGACAAATATCTGATACATTCGTATATTATGTATTAAACTAAGAATTATGTATCAAAAGCACATTATCAGGCAAAAGTACAAATTTCCTTGAACTTCTTTCTTTTTTTTTTTTTACAAAAAATTCTGACAATGAGAAATGCAATTCACTTAGCTCAAATTCTAATAAGAATTATATATTTGTGACTTGATCAATATATAGAAATATTTCATTTATATTTATTAATAAATAAAAATTATTATTCTATTCGGATTGAATTTATAAATAAGATTATTAAATCCAATTGAATTTTCATAAACCGCGCGAAGCCCGGGCAAATTTTCTAGTTATCAAATAAAGGAGAACTCATGAATCATAATAGCATATATATTCTACTGTGAAATATGCAAGAAACTTACATAAAAAGCAACTACCACTCCTGATGTAAAATTTGCAGGCAGCTTTAGTGCAGCATTGAAGAAACCGTAGTAGTATTTGTCTCTTGACACTAGTCCTGAACCTATGGAGGGACCAAGAAGACATGGAGTTAGTTACTTCAGTAGTTTAAACTTAAGCAAAGCATTTCTCATATTATGATGTAGGAGTCTACCTGAAGATTTATCTAAGATAAGATCAGCACTGGACCCATTGTTCGTTAGACGAACATTAACACCTCCAAAAAACACATTATATCCCTGACTAACAGATAATCTACTGAAACGGTCAGTTAACCGCTCAACCTCTGGAGGAGTATACATTGGACCTAGAGATGAAGCCACAGATATCATGCAGAAAATCAATAATTCTGATAATAAGAGTGTTTTTTGCTGGTGAAAGAATTCCATTTCTTTCTTGTTATGTTATGTATATGAATCAAGGAAAATGTGGGGCGAAACAGGGCTATTTATCAGAGGAAACCTTAACTTTTTTAAGTTGTAGCAAGCTGGCTGTGTCTTTGAAGAATTCTATTAAATAGGGTGACTTTAATTTGATTCTTGGATGGGAAATGTGGACAGCGATTGAAAGTTCATGTGCAGTGGAGAAAATCATGTTCTGGAAAAGATCCATCATGTTCAAGATTAGTTCAAGTGGAGGCCAGTCTAAGAAAAGTAGTCCTTTTCACTCTATCGGTGAAAAGAATAATTCTTAAAGCATAAAAGGTTTGGCCATTTGTGTTGAATTTTTAGGTACTTTTTTTGTTGAATTTTTTTCTAGAGTTTGGCTCTGATCCCATAGAGCGGAGGCGATTTCTGGGTTTCTATTAGAGAAAGTCTACATAGTTCGGTTCGACGCTATTTTATAAAATTTGTAACATACTAATTTCGGTTACTCATTCTACATAATTAAAATTAAACTTTTTGAAACTGTCATCAATTATCTCGGTCTCTTTTGTTTGATTAATTTTCGATTTGCTTTTTAGTATGTTATAAATGATCACATGAGCGAAGATATTAGTCAAGTCGAGACTCAAGAATAGAGTCTATTAGAAGATGAAGTATCCAACAAGAGTTATCTAAATCATACGAGAGGAAAGATATTCAACACCTTGTCTATTGCTACTCAAGATCGCTAGAATACCTTGTGGCTTGCTATTCTCAAAATGTAGGAACTAATGTAGTTTCAACTAGAGTAATAAAATAGGAATAGAGTTGAGATTTTAGGTATTAATTTTATGTTGACTTGTAGTCGTTTCCATAATCCTAAGGTTTAATGCTTTATTAATTTTAATCTTAAATATATAAAATATACTTTTCACATAAAAATTTATTCGGTACTATTCGATATTTGTTCGATTTATTCTTATCAAAATAAAAACCTATCCTTATAATTTTATATACGGTTATAAATTTATATAAAAACTTATAATTTTATTTGCACTACTAGAAATCCGGTAAAAAGTGACCACAAAAAGCGACCAAAGTTGGTCGCTTATAGGCCTAAAAGCGACCAAAAAGCGACCAAACATGCCTGGTCGCTATATTGCTGGTCCCTTTATTTTAGGGACCAAAGTTGGTGGCTAATTAGCGACCAACTTTGGTCTCTAAGGTAAAAGGACCAAATATTCCGGGTATTGACTATAGCGACCAACTTTGGTCGCTTTATTATTTTAATAATATAATTTTGGCGACCAAAGTTAGTCTCTAAATGTAAAATACGTTNAACACGTGTAATCCCAATAATTACTTGTAAACTCAGAATTATGTTACTTTGCTCAAGGCGACACATGGAAGATCATGGTTCAATACTAGAAATTCGGTAAAAAGCGATCACAAAAAGCGACCAAAGTTGGTCGCTTATAGGCCTAAAAGCGACCAAAAAGCGACCAAACATGCTTGGTCGCTATATTGTTGGTCCCTAAAATATTAGCGACCAACTTTGGTCTCTAAGGTAAAAGGACCAAATATTCCGGGTATTGACTGTAGCGACCATCTTTGGTCGCTTTATTATTTTAATAATATAACTTTGGCGACCAAAGTTGGTCTCTAAATGTAAAAAACGTTATTTATTTATTTATTATTAATCATAAAAAAGCGACCAACTTTGGTCTCTAATCCAAGTATTATATTTTAAAATCTGGAAAATAGAGACCAAGGTTGGTCACTATTTTATTAATTTTTTTTAAAAATAAGCGACCAAAGTTGGTCGCTAATTTCAAGAATTTATTTATTTTTTAAATATAAGCGACCAAAGTTGGTCGCTATTTTTTCAGAAATTGTTTTTTTTAATGGAATAGCGACCAAGGTTGGTCGCTTTTCAGAAATCTGGGTAAAAAGAGACCAACTTTGGTCGCTATTGCCCACAAAATTATTTTTTTAAAATGAAAAGCGACCAAAAAGAGACCAAAGTTGGTCGCTTTTCTGGGTATTATTTGGCAGAAATTGCCTGTTTTGGCAGCTACACCACCTGCCAGCATACCAAATCTGTCACGATCCAAAATCTAACCATGATCGTGATGGCGCCTATCGTGTTACAAGGCAAGCCTATTCCCAAAATATTACTACTAATTTGATTATAAGAATTTAATAAAATATTTCCAATAATTTAATTCTTGATAAACTAAACCAACTCTAAATATAAATAATATAAAATACGGAAACGAGTCCCAAAAATCGGGGTGTCACTAAATCATGAGCGTCTAAAACTATGAACTGAGATATATAACTGTCTAACTGTCCAAAGAAGAAATGATAAAAGGAGTAACAAGGTCCTGCGGACGCTGGCAGCTACCTTGCAGTCTCCAATTAAGACCGGCCTGAACTCAACGATCACCGCACTCTAACTCACCTGGCTCTGCACATAAAGTGCAGGGTGTAGTATGAGTACAACCACCTCAATAGTAACAGAAATAACTAAGGAACTGAGTAGTAGTGACGAGCTGAGCAAAATAGTCCAATTATTTATTTTTCACAATTTTAAAAATAACATGAATAAACAGGTAAATTCCATAACTCAGTAAATGCCGCACAGAAATTTAACAGATAAATGCAGCAATAACAAAAGTTAATGCAACCTCACAGTAATGTCACTCCGTCACTCAGCACTCGCACTCAGCACTCCACACTCAACACTCAACACTCTACGCTTACTGGGGTGTGTACAGACTCCGGAGGGGCTCCCAAAGCCCAAGCGCTAAGCACGGACAACTCACGTGCTACCATATCAATACCTGGATCCGCACGGTCAACTCACGTGCTACGCGGACAACTCACGCGCTATGATATTAATATCCTCACAACCAGGCCCTCGGCCTCACTCAGTCATGTACCTCACTAGCCTCACCATCATCAACAAATAAGGGAACACAACCCACATCAAGTATCATAGCATATTAGCAAATAATAGAGACTGAGGTAAATATGTACAATAATTTCTATGACTGAGTACAAATAATGTGAGCATGAATAAAACCTAAACAGGATCTCTAACATGAAGGCAAACAAGTTCAACAACAAGTAAACACATAACCACAGATAATAGCTTTTAGGCCTGGCCTCATGGGACGGACCAAGTCTCAATCCCTCGCGGTGCACACCCACACGCCCGTCACTTAGCGTGGGTATCACCACCAAACAATCACATGATATCAATTTCTCCGGGTTTATACCCTCAAAGCCAGAGTTAAAACTGTTACTTACCTCAACAGCGTAAAATCCTACTTCGGGATGTCCTCGTCCCTCGACTCGGTCTCCAAAAGCTTCGAATCTAACCATAATCAGAATACTACTATCAACATAGTCTAAAGAATCGAATTACACAATAAAAACTACATAAACATGCCAAAAATCCAAAATCGGCCAAAACTCGGCCCCCGGGCCCACGTCTCGGAATCAGTAAAAAATGGCAGAATAATAATCCTCGTCCTCTCCCGAGTCTAAACATAGAAAATTTGTCAAAATCGGACTCCGTTTGGTCCCTCAAATTCTCAACTAAAACTCTCCAAAACTCAAACCCTAACTCCCTCAATTTCACTTTGAAATCATTAATCAAATCCCAAAAACGAAGATGGATTCATAAATCATAATCAAAATCGAGTAGAGAACACTTACTCCAATCCATATGGTGAAAATCGCCTCCAAAATCGCCCAAATCTGAGCTCCCCAACTCAAAATATGACCGAATAAACAAACCCTAGTTTTGTATATTCTTCTACCAGATATTCTGCCTCGTTTCTCGAGCCAAACGATCCCGAAACTCGTATTTTATGCCTCCAATGGATTCCTTGTGAAATTCTAGTCAAGTTAGGCTTTTGAATCACTCAATTTGACCTTATAACGAAGGAGATATGTAGGTTTTAATATTTGCAAATAGTGCAGATTTTTAAATACGGTGCTAGTGGCAATTTCGTAATTAATCTGAAAAATCTGGCAACCCTATTCGTAAAAATTGCACACATGGCGCCCTATTTGGGCGCTCCCTTTTAACCTGTAGCCGCTTTGTCTTTCTGTTTGCACCCGTACCCACTTTTTAAAAAACTTCAGCTTCCTTTCTCCTCCCCTTTTCTTCTTCTTCTTCTTCTTCTTCTTCTTCTTCTTCTTCTTCTTCTTCTTCTTCTTCTTCTTCTTCTTCTTCTTCTTCTTCTTCAATACCACAGTTCTTGCTCTTCACTGTAGTTAGTGTTTGAGATAAGCCTTTACAAATAGAATATGAGATTGGAACTTGCTAGTTTCATGCTTTGCGGTAACTGAAGAAGATAGATTTTCTGGATTTAGCTTTGCGCGATATGTAATCGTCAGATTTTCATTGACCATTCTAACAAATTTTAACGGAAAATAATATGTAGCTACTTAAACATGATATTTCAAGACTATCCGCCAAAAATTGCTAGATATTTCCATGTAATTCCTTTGATGAATGTACAAGAAACAGTACAAGAAACAAAGACAAAAACTTCAGCTCTAGAGCTGAAGTTTCCTAGTTACAACATAGAAACTTCAGCTCTAGAGCTGAAGTTTTTATTTTATAACTGGCAAACTTCAGCTGTAGAGCTGAAGTTTTCCGGTTACAAAGACAAAAACTTCAGCTCTAGAGCTGAAGTTTTCCAGTACAAAAGAAAAACTTCAGCTCTAGAGCTTAAGTTTTTATTTTATAACTGGAAAACTTAAGCTCTAGAGCTTAAGTTTTTATTTTATAACTGGAAAACTTAAGCTGGAAAACTGCTTAAGTTTTTATTTTATAACTGAAAAACTTAAGCTGGAAAGCTGCTTAAGTTTTTATTTTATAACTGGAAAACTTAAGCTCTAGAGCTTAAGTTTTTATTTTATAACTGGAAAACTTAAGCTCTAGAGCTTAAGTTTTTCGGTTACAAAGACAACAACTTCAACTGAGGTTTTCCAGTACAAAAGAAAAACTTC